TACACACACACGCACACACAGACAGCCTTTCGACAATATGCGTCGTTGCTGGCTATAGCGCTGCACAGTAAAAACGCATAAGAACGCATCTTCACGCGGGCAGCCCGTGCGTTGGCCAACTGTTTGCAGCTATGCAATGCAGAAAACGCATATTAACGAGGGGTTATCTGCGTGTCTCTGTGTACGTCCGTACCGATCTTTCATCTCAAGACCTATAAAAACTACAGGGCTGAAACTTCGGGAACTTAATCTACGTGCACGTACGGGCCCCCATTCCCAAAATGGCGCTCCTACTCACATGGCACCTACGTACGAGGCCGCCAAATTCTTATACGGGTAAGTTGTTAACTCGAGAATTTGAAAAGCTAAAAGACTGTAATTTTAAGGGGATATTCCCCGCCCACCTAGGTCTCATTGAGCCCAAACCCAGCCCACGGTATGCGTGATACCTACGTACGAGCCCACCGAAATTTTTTTCAGGTAAGTTAACTCGGGAACCTGAGAAGCTAGAAGACTAGAATTTTGAAGGGATGTTTCCTGACAGCCCTGGCGGTCAGTCTGAAATTCTTTTAGCTAAAAGCATTTACCGGAAAAAACAGTGCCGTTAGCGACAAAAATTTGCGGGGAGCTATGCAAAAAACGCATCTTCGCACGGGCAGCCCGTGCGTTGGCCAATTATTTTCTTTTACGCAGGAGGCTGGACGTAGGGGGAGAGGGTTGAGTTGAGCGGTTGTGTGGCGTGGCCACGTAGGGGATAGAGGGAGGAAGGTGATGAGGAAGAACCGTGTTGCTTGTTTTTGCTGCGGATGCGCGGCGTGCGGAAAGGGCTCGGGGAGGGGGGAGGGGGTGTCGCTACGAAAGTGGGAGGAGGGTTGGCAATGCATAAGCACATTTTTGAGTGTGGGATTCGAAACACGGGCAGAGGTTGGGATGGGTGTGAAGGGGAAGGTGTGTTGCGAAAAAAAATTTATAGCGGAATCGAATTCCGATTTCAAGGTTCAGAGAGAAGAATTCGGTGGTTCAGTGGTTGTAACAATTCTTCTCCTATCTCATTCGTCCTGGCTCTTCGTAATCCTAATGCAGTTTTCAAAAATTTAACTATTAAATCGTTACCTCAGGTTTAAGCAGAAGAATGTCTAATGTGCCAAATCAAAAATATCGCCGCTGCACGGCGATAACACCAGTATCCAGCGGCCGAAAAGACCAGGCTTCTGATTTTGAATCTCACTGAGTCCTCCCGGTCGCCACGGCCCTGCCGAATCCGCCACCTCATCTTCCACGCCGTACCCAAAATACAGTCCTGTCGCCGACCACCACGTCGTCCTCGACCGTTGATCCCAACTGCCCGTTTTGTCAACATGTTTCATGTTTGACAAAACATCACATGTACATATTTACGAAAACATATCACGAAAACAACACCATATGTGCATATTCGCGAAAATAATTTATGATTAATTGCCGAGAAACATAGCAAGAACATAAATCATCGATATTTAAAATTGTACCGAGAACATAACATGGACATAAATCATCGATATTTAAAACTGTTTTATAAACATTAATTATCGCGACAGTGTGTGCAGATTTCGCACGCGGGGAATCGAGGCAAGAGGAGGGGGTTGGATGGTTGGATTAAGTGGATACGTGGCGTAGATCATTTGGCAGTTACTTAGGCCACGCAAGGGAGAGGAGAGTGGGTATGAAAGGAGGGAAGCAAGAAAAAAATAAAAGCAAGGAAGAAAGTAAAAGTGAGAAAAGTAAACGAAAAACCGCCATGAGTAGGGATCTTCCTCATCTGTAAAGCTGACGCTCAGGTAAAATTAAAAGCGAATAAGGTGCAGCTGCGTAAGTAAAGATGAGAGCTCTCAGCTTTACCTAAGCATTGGCTTCATAAATACGAAAGCCCACTACTGGAGACAAGCTTTATGCAAAGGAGAACCCCATTATCAGCAAAGGATTCTCCCAATCATGAAGCTGATGCTTAGGTAAAGCTGCGTAGATAAAGCTGAGAGCTCTCAGCATTAATTAAGCATCACTTCCTCTCTAGCACCCATGTTTCTTCCCTCTTTCCTGCCCCAATCCGTGCCCCCGAAGCTGCATCAGGGCACCCACCCACCACCACCCCGCAATCACGCCAACTCCCCCCTGCCCCTCCGCCCTTACCTAGCACCCCCAACCACGCATTTCAGCCGCGGTGCACTGGGTAGCACTATCCAGCACTCCTGGCAAAGCGCCAAGCGGAATTGGCGAGCCTCGCCGCAAAATGACATTAGCAGAAATGCTAGAGTGTCGGCCAGGCCGAGCCGAGTTTTAGTAATTGTCTTGCAAAAACGCGTAATTGCACTGGTAAGCTTGGTGCCTTTCAGTTTGGATTACATTCGTATGCATGCAAAAACGCATAAAAAACATTGGATACAGTTGATGCAACAAAGACATGCTAGGTCCGGGACTCGGGTTTATTATCAGCCGGAAGACAAAAGTAACGACATAAATAAAAGAGACGGAACACTCCATTTACTGGGTTCAGTTGTTTTTCTGCACCGTTTGCATACAGCTTGCTAAGAACAAAATTATTTCAAAAGAAAGGATGTGCTGTTACCAGTAAGGGATGAAGTTGGCGGTTGAACCCCTTTACCTTGCCCAGTTGCTCTCTAGTTCCATGTGATATGCAAATGACCCGCCTCAAGATTCAGTTCCCCTCCCCGTGATATAAAAATGATGCGCTTAGAAATGAAACTAGATTGTTTTCGGTCCCACAGGTATGGTACGGCTGCCGCTTGGAGCTGCTGCCAGTTCTTTCCTTACCCCGTACTGTAGCGCTGTGCGGTAGCGGCTTGGAGCTGCTGCCGATTCTGCCTCGCCTTGGTTTCATCGGTTTGTTTTCTTGATAAAACGTTGTTTCTGTGGGTGAGTGTTCATACCTCCCCCCGCCCCACAGAAATCCGTCCGATTCAGGTTGTCCCTCGCGCGTTACAAAAATTATATTGAGTAATTTGCATCAAACGATTTTGGAGTTATTACCAAAACAGTAGTTCCCTAACTTGTCTAGCTCCATGCGTTTTTCACTTAGTGCTCTTTATCGTCGCTGAAAAGATAATTTTCATCCTTTAGATAATTTCTAACGAATTATTTTCATCTGAGTTTTGTGCTTTGTTTTCGTTT